TATCAATCAATCAACAGAGTTTACACAAATCCTTGAGACGTCATCAAAAAGTACGATCGAAGAAAGACTAATTAGTATCTTTCTTCCTTTGGTCATGGGAGGAGCATCCCATGCATTAATCGAGTGGGAGTTCTGAGGGATCAACCCGGGACTCAGTTTCAGCAGACCAGATCAGCAACACACGAGGCGCCTAGCTTTTTCGAAGCTGCCTCACAGATTGTCTGTGGATGTTATGCAGCATAAGACAGATGGCATGCTCAGTGTATTCAGAACGACAGACCTAAACACTCTTGCATTCTCGAACAAAATCCCGTTGAACTCGGGGTCTAATCAACGCAAAAATACAAGCATCTCTATGCATACATCCACTGCGGAAGGTGCGAAAATGACAAGGGTGCATAGGTCAGAAATCAACCGAGGGATTGCACACACACCTCCACCGTTTACAAGACAAGAGAATTAAGTTCTCGTCATCTGGGGATTACCCAAGAAACTAATGGAAGAGTTTCAGGAGAATTTCTTTCGAGCGAGAACTCTCAAGAGTTCGCTTCGGTTCACAAGAGAGACAAGCCCACAATACCTCGTCATTCAAGTCAGAGAGAGAAAGAGAGAGAGATGGGAGGGATAGACGAGCAAAGCCGAGACGGAAGACACCAGAGTTCGACAAGAGAGCATTCGGCTTTACAACCATGAACTCACACCAGAAAGAATGATCCGCAATCATGAAGGCGCATTCGCCGTAAAATTCCAATATGGCCCCGGGCCAATCATCCACTCAACTCCAATCACAAATCCTCAAACTCGCACCGACGATCCCGGCCGTCGCGTGCTAACTTCCGCCACTGCGATCATCACCCCGCTGACGTAGACTCGACTCGGCTCGCCCGGATCCCACAGTCCGTCGTGGTGATCAAGCGCGCATCCGGACAGACTACAGTCAGCTCGACAGGACTTTTCGACGCGCACAAAACACCTCACCTAACCACTGCTTTGCGGGCGCGCTTGCGGAATTTATAGTTGCGAGAGAGGAGATAGATGGGGGAGGAGTAGAGGGGAGATCGAGGTGTAGGGAGGGAAGGTTCAGCGAAGGGTGCTCAGGGGAAGCCATGTTGATCCTTCAGAACCCGATGGTCGGCCAATCAGATTCGTCATGCAATAGGGAGATCCTTTTACTCAACGCGTCTGATTGGTGAGGCCGGGTAATCGGAGGATCAACCGGGCTTCTTGTGCCAAGGTTGAAGAGCAGGAAGAGATGAGGCGCGAAAAGCAGCGCGAGATGGTTCCAAAATTCAGATGATCCAGAAGGGAAACAGGCGCGCAAAAAGTAGAGAGAGAGAGAGAAAAACAGTTGCGAAGGGAGAAGAAGAGGAGGGGGAAGGGAGAGAGAAGAGAGCGCGGGGAAAGAATGACGCGGGAAATAAGGAGGAGGAAGCTCGCATGCGCGGTGCCGATAACAAGAGAAAAGGCACCAGAACAGTTACAGCTTGCCTATGTCCTACACCTATTCAAAAATTGAAATCACCATATCCGCGCGCGAAGGTCGACGCGGGAAAAGAAAGTCCTATGTCTATCCGTATTCTCACAAAATTTCTAGAGTTTTCTCCGTCGTGACCGAGAACATTCATGCGAGGAAAAAGATACGTCGGGCTCCGCTTATTCCGTAATTCCTAACTGTCGAGCCCGATTCCCTGTGAGCTTGCTAAGGCGCACGTAATTTCCCGTGTCTTTCCCGAATTACAAAAAACAGAATTCCAAGAATCAATAGAACTTCCGAAAAATGGAGGCCCAAACCAGGGTTGTCACGCGGGGATCCCCGG